ATCGTTTTAACTATATCCGGATCCTGTCCACAAGCGAGACCCATTCCTTAATGATATGTAATGATAACACCGAATAGAAGTACAGGCAAAGGCTGGAAAAGTGAAGCTTCAAGTACTAGATACGCCATGCATCCGTTCATTAGCCAGATTGTAAGGTTTATCATCGTTGTGAACGATAGGGCGTGAGAGGGGCGTGGATAGGAGCTCAGACTCAGCAGCTTTCCGACCAATTGGTACAGTTCTGAGCTGGCAGCAATTAGTAGAAAAGCTGCCCTTGCTGCGCACTAATCCAAGCCCCTTCACACGCCCATTTTTTAGCGGAGCCGTGAACTGTATGAACACAGAAACTTCCCGGGTTCTCGTACCTTATAACCTCCCTTTCAGATCACCCAAGCGTCAAACTGCATTCAGTAACAACCCTATTATGGCTAAGGGTGCGCTTTTCAACCCACTGCTGTGGTCTATTTATAGATGACCCCTTTTGCTGAGAGACAACAACACTGAGACATTTCTATAACTTAGGCAACGTCTGGATATACAAATCTTGTTAATTACCTTTTTCTCCCATTCCGTGAGGGCATGAAAGGTTCAGCTCAAGAATGTCGGCGCCCGCTTCCTCGCTTTGCTGAGCTAGCAAGACCCAATCTTCCTGAAATAACAAAAAGTAAAGTTATAAGTAACACGAAGAGAAGAGGAGGTTAAACCGGAGAACTGGTAGTAGTGTCCAATTACCATAACTTTTTTGCTCTACAAAAGTTGTCAAAACTTCAGACACGAATTCATAAAGGCCAATTGGGCTGGCCAGTGAAGAAAAAGCAGTGTCCTCAAGTAAGACCGTGTGATTTACAGAACTGGGAAAGCATGCGATGAACAGAGTGAATAGAGCGAGATTCACCTGGTTTTTCCCTGAGTGCTCTGTGAAAGACCAGGTAAATATGGGCCAGGGCCACACAGCCGCACCCAGGCTAGAATCGATCAACACCACGCAGCTGTTGTACATTTATGGGCATATATACTCAAAGTGGGCTGGGTTTCTTGTCATAGCAGGCACTCAGCGCCCTTACTACGCACATTCTAGTTGCAAATGTGACTCCCATCCAAGAAATATCACCTTTTAGTTAACCCTGAGCAGTATCTTTAGATCATACGGAACTGGATCGCACATCCGATCGCTGCCCACCTCCAAATGGCGCCTAGCCAAATAATCCTTATTTGCTCGAGCTCTGGCCTTATGGCAGAAATGCAGGGTGCGGCGCTAAAGTTCCATGTTGCGACGATATCAGCTAACTCGTCCACTGCTCAAAATCAGTGGGCGTGTCCATCTCGCTGGTTCCTTGATATCTCGACAATGTCGCGCCGTATAGTATGTCTGATTTAATTTTGGAGGTGCCACCAAATTAGAATAGCCTCTGCCTTTGGGATGTTCCTCGAACTTGAAATTCACGAAAACCCTGCCGTAACCCTTGGTCTGGGAAAAGTTCGAAACTT